CTTCACCTTACCATGATACCTACACAATGAACCCATCATAAATAAGTTCTTTGAAACAACTCAACCAACACAGCTCAATCACCGCAAAAACTATTCCAAACGGGAACTTACATTTAAGAGGGCTTTCATGCACCAGCTTTTGGCTTTGGAAGGTGGGGCCATCGAAATGGCCTGAATGTTTGGTAGAAAATTGGTAATAAAAATGAAGAGCCAAATTTAATCATGGTGTAGCCATTTAGGAATTAGTAGGAACTAAACTAAAGCATCCATCTAGGAAGCTAAGTCCTCTCAAATAAAAAAAATATCAATGAACTAACCCTTGTTTCCATTTTTGGCACGGTCATTTATGGAAGCCAAAAAACAACAAAATTTGTGGATTTAGAAATCCTAGTAGGATACGTAGATATTATGGGTTTTTACTGTAAACTAAAGTTCTTTCTGTTTTTTTTTTGTTTTTGGTATTTTCTGTAATCAAAAGTTCTAAACATATCCTACTAGGATACGTATGTATTGTGGGCTAAGTCTAAAATATTTAGGCCCAGCCATGACTAGCAAATTTGTCGAACTGATGCAGGCCCAGGTGTGGGTAATGCCAACACACAAGAAATTTGTTCATCAGATTAAGATGGAGATTCATCCCAATAGAGTTCGAATCTCCTGTTCGTGTTTATCGCAGTCGCACATGGAGAATATCACATCCCCTGTATAGTATTATATAAGAAGAGATGTTTCCAATTCATAAGGGTAGTGTATTCTGGATAGGCGTGGGCAGTTTTCTAAACAGGAAATCCGGAGTCATCCCAACGTGTTAATAGAAAAAACGAAATATTGAATTAGTCCTCCATTACTTTTAGAATTTTTAAAATAAAAAACCCAAATGACAAAAATTTTCACGAATAAGAATTAGATCGCGTCTCCGTCTCTGTTTTCCGTCGGATGCGTTCACGTCTGCCATTTCTTTAGTCTACACCGGTACTGTGCTTGAGGCTCAAATGGGTATACACACCACTACCGGTGGGTTTTCTTCCTCCATCGCCAGCGGTGGCAAGGGCTTCTCCCCTTTCTCTCCCCACCCTGCCTCCGTTCTCCCCTGTTCCACCGTCCACCGGTGACGGTTTGAATAACGGTTTCTCCCCTTTCTTTCTCTCGCGCTCTCCATGCCTTCGACGGTTTGGTTGGACTGTACTGTAGGAGATTCCGAAATTTATACCCAGCGGTGGAAGATAGATGTTTGGTGGCTCTCAAGCATTACCAAAGGACATGAATCTTTTGTTTCCTTCGAGCTTCAAACATCGGAAAGAATTGCAGTCAAAGAGGAGAGAGGCAAATATGATTTCACCGAAATGAAAAAGGGTGATTACAATTCACTTTGACCAAGTTTCTGCCACTCAACAAAATTTCGTCAAATCTTCACCAAGCTCAACTCAAATTATAAGTTACCTGTTTTATATTTCTGGTTCTCCCCTCTGCAGTCTGTGCATAGGGTGACCTACCAAAGGTAACAGGACTTCCTAAGTCCTAACCATCTCTATCTTCTAAGACTCTTGTCTATTTTTCATTTACCTTGACAAACCCTCACATCTTGAATTCACCAACTGAGCTCCTTGTTTCCCCTCTTACTAAGACTCGTCTCTAGGGGCTTTATGATTGCTGGATCAACTCCGTCACCGAGGTCTGTCAACGCCAGTTTTCAATTTGGGTAAATTTCTTAAATTATTTAATTAATTAATTAAAATTGACTAATAATATCCCTATTGTTTATAACAATTGACTAATACTTTTCGTACGTTAATGTTCATTAATAGAAAGACGAAAAAGACTATTTTATCTTTTTATTTTTCTTCAAATTTTCAAAATAAAACAAGAAAATGGACCGTAGGTAACAGTCTAACCGGAGAGAAAGAGAGAGAGAGAAGGGGGGAAGAGCTTGGAACTGAGTAGGACAGTGGCGACTTCTTTTGGGTTTTTCGTGATGATTGTCGTCTTCGTCACGGCTCTACTTATCTCATCTTCTACCACCGTTGATGCCAGCGGGGAGTACCAATTGGGTTGGCTGCCGACGAGATCGACCTGCCAAGGCTTCATGGAGGGGTGCATGGCTGGCGACTACGAGTTCGAAATAGATTCTGAGATCAACCGCCACATTCTAGCAATCAACCAGTACATCAGCTACGGAGCCCTGCAGCGCAACACTGTACCTTGCTCCCGACGCGGTGTATCTTACTACAATTGCAAACCCGGAGCTCAAGCCAATCCTTACAACCGAGGTGTTGCAACGTCATCACTCGGTGCCGGAGCTAGTTCTGTATTTTCCTTTCACTTGTTTCTTTGATCCTTATTCTGGGATTTAATGGGGTGTTTGTTAATTGTTATACAAGAGGAAGAGGGGAGGAGGAAGCTGGTTGGGAGGGGGGGTGTTTGATTTGAATTATATTGGAGGTGTTATTTTAACTATAATTGGCTGCTTGTGTAAAACATTCTTTTTTTTTTTCCATCGTTGTTATTCACTTACATATTTCTTCTTTTTTGTTTTCTATTGTTTATAATTTGATGTAGATTATCTTTTCTTTTGCTCTGCACATTGAAAGGATTAATGGGTTTTTGGAGTTTAGGCAGTCTAGAATCCATATAGAACAGTTCAAAAAACAGTTTTTCCTTTCATTGTTTATTCTGCGATGTGTTCATAGATGTCCATCTCCCTCTATCTAGCGGGTCTGTGTCTACCATAAAATTAATGCCATTTCTTTTAGTTATGGGTTTGTGCTGGAACTTGTTTTTCTGTTTGAAATTTGAATTCTGCTCTCTTCCTTCTTCCACTGTAGTCGAGGGGAAAAGATCTGGTGAAGGAAAGAAATAGGAGTGGAGGAAGAAAAGGAAAAGGTAGAAAAAATTGGATTTCTTTTTCTTTATTTTTCCATCTTAAGAAATTTATATAGAAATCAGGAGCAGAACAGTGGACAGTGGACACCATTAATTCGTCTTCCTCAAGTAAAAAGAAGAGAAAAAAATGGAGAGAGAAGAGAAATGGCTTGGAATGCTTAGATGTCATTTGGATTTGGGTATCCACCATCTACCATTTACCAATTTTCAAACAAACCCTTATAACCCAAAAGGAGAGAAGCTGGGAAGGATCTACGCCTCTGAAAACAATCAGAGAGTCTGTGAGCCGATCCATTGCATATTATAGCAAAAGCAGGAGAAAAAAAAAGGCTTTATTAGCTTAAACTCACTGACAAGACGCTCCCAACAGGAAAAAGAAGGAGAGAGAGAAAGAGGGGGAGAGAGGTGAGGGTAAAATTGGGTTTTAAAAATATATATATTAAGTACTAATGAGTTCTGACAAAATATTAACGGAATTTAATAGTAAAAGTAAAGTTAGTCAATTATTAAAAATAATAAGAGTATGATTAATCAATTTTCAAACAATAAAACAATTAATCAATTAACTAAATCATAATTTAAGAAATTTACCCTTTCAATTTGAACCTCGCCACCGATTTGGTAAAGATGGTTTGAATGTCCAATGCGGACTCGATCCCAAGTCTCCACTCCAACCAGAGAGACTTTAGCAGCAGGACTTAGGAATATCTAGGTCATTTTTGTCATTTAATCAGTTGGTCTATAACACCGTCACAAAACCCATTACCAACGTTGTCAGGTGAAGCCTAAAGTTTGTTTAAAACATAGGTAGGTGGCTTTGTTATTCACCACATGATTTTAAAACCGCCGTTGACCGGGTCAGTCAAGGTACCGGTTCCATTTTAGTGTGAACCGTTATTATACTAAAAAACGTTGAGTTGAGTCAATGAACCATTGACCCAAACAACGGTTTGCAGTCTAATATACTTTATTTAAAATTTCAAAAAAAAAAAAAAACAGGTGGGAAACAAGCAGATCTGAGAGAGAGAGAGAGAGAGAGATCAGGTTCAAAGACGAGCTTTGGCCCCATTTGACATGTCTTTTCGCACGGTCTTTCAACTGCTTACAAGCTGGGAAGACCGAAAATCGGTCTATTCCCATTTGGCACGTGAAAGATCTCGTCACCAAAAGACAGGGCGCCAAAAAGACACGTGAAGCCTATTTTGGACTGATTTTGGGAAACTCCAAATAAAGCTTCCCGCGTCTTCCGCGTTTTAATCTCGTGTGAAAAGACCCAAAATGACACACGGAAAGATGCCCGTTTGCCAAACGGTCTTCGAACTGCCCAGATCTTACGTCAAAAGCTCAATATGTCTATGCGCTACAAGAAGATCTTCTCAAAAAGACTTGCTAAACGGGCCCGAGATCTGTGAGAGAGATCTCAGATTACAGATCTACGAGAGAGGGATCCTACCGCTGCAGGTCACCGTTGTCATTGCCATCACCACTATAAGTCACCTAGACCTCTACCTTTTCCTCATTTCTTCTTCATATTCCATTCTCTTTCTTTCTCTCAACCTTTTTTTCCCCCTTCTCTAAGCCAACAGAGCCCTTTTTGCACTCTCATTCTTATCCCCACCCCTTCTCATTAACATTTATATCCATCTTACCTTAATATTCCAATCCACAGGATAAGATGAGAAATAGGTTCGGTCACTGATTCGTTTTTAAAAACCATGGTTTGACTTGGATGGTCGAACAGCTGACCCAGAAACCAGTGGCCAAAGCAGTTTCATTTCCGGGTTGGTTTTTAAAACCTTGATCCACCATAAAAGGAGGCTGCCCTTCCATAGTTCCATTCCTTCAAGCAAAAGCGTTTCCGCAATGACACGAGGGTTGATGTATTTTCATGTTAAGTAACATTGATTAGGTTTCATTTGAAGATCAAATAGAAGGCAACCAAAAGGCCGCGCCTAGTGGGCTGCCCTTTTTACAAACTTCAATAGATGGGGATGCAGCATTTTTGGCCTTTAGAACAAGCATTTCTTTGACAAAGAAAAGAATGTGCTTACTATAACCCACCCAAATTGAAATACACAAACTATATACGAGAACACTAAAATGACACCGGGTCAATGCACTAATTGCAATGTGATCTTTTTTTGGGTATTATTGCAATGTGGTCAATGCAATAGAATTTTCAAATGGAAAACCAGTCACCAAGAAGAAGAAGAATCTGACTAAATCATCTATGGAATAACTTGTCAGAAAAGAAAAAGTATAAAGAGAAACTGTTTCAGCGGACTTGTTGGCCCAAAATAAAAGGGATAACCTCTTCATGAGATTAAATTGATCTCACCAAACCGAAGAAAGATCTGCTTTAGACAGAATGTTTGTCCTCACACATTTTAGCATTCTGTTGAACGTGTAGACTTTGCCGGATGATATGTTTGCAGTGACAACAGTTCCGTTGTAATGTAATCTCTTATAACAGTTCTGGTTCTTTGACCAGATACCAACTTCATGAAGCTCTCCTTCCTTCCAGCAAATATTAACTGTCACACCACCTCGAGCCTTTAAACCTCTCACACATCCACTTGCCCATTTCTCCCTTGGAAGTGCAGGAAGTAAATACAGGTCCTTTTGAGTGCTCTGAACAAGCATTTCTGCAACTGCTGCCGTAAAACTGATACCAAAAAATGCAAGGTAATCAGCTCCAAGAACATGGGTATCCGGGTTTGGGAGATAATTTCTTCATACATTTCTACTGTTATTGAGAAATAGAGACTGTTGCTTACCCAAAATTTGCATCTATCTGGAAAGGAGGGTGTGCAGTGAACAAGTTGCTATAAAGCCCTCCTTCAAAGTTACTTTCATGGTCAGGATCAACCAAATCAAACAAATGCTTCACCATTTGATACGCATGCTCACTATTCCGAAGACGAGCCCAAAGAGCAATCTTCCATGCAGTTGACCATCCTGGGCCTTTCTCTCCTGTCTCCAGAAGTATTTTTGGGAACACTCGTTAATGATTATAAAAGGAATATTCCGTAAAACAAATTTCAGTTCAACAGAAAATGGTAAAAAACTGATACTGTAGTTAAAATCTTATTTGTTTTTATTTTGGATTTTTCACTTACAGGTTTACAAATGGGACCAATGCAAGGATTCCTCCACTCAAAAAGGAAAAAAAAAAAAAAGAAGAAAAACTCTCCCACCATCTCTGTCTGCAGAATATAGTACCACTATGCTAGTTATAACATTAACTCATACCAAACTATTTCAAAAAAGTGATCCTCATATTTAAAAAAAAGGGGAAAATTATATATATGTGTGTGTGTGTGTGTGTGTATCCCTTGGATTTTCTAACAGTCCTATAAACCTCTCCTGTGTTTTGACTATAACAAAAACCTCCCTCATATTTCTGAAAAAAAGGTGCAAATACCTTCCTTCTGTTAGCTTTCCAGATGGAAAACACTGATGTAATGCATTAAAATTTTTAAAAATACCAGATTTACTCTTGACCAACTTCATTTAGATGTAGATTTACTAAAATACCCCAAAGAGAACAGATTTGCTTCTCTTTATTTCACTTTGGCCTTTTTACCTTACTCTGTCTAAGAAGGTAAAGAGAATTAATATTCTTATAGTTATCAGTTAAAGAGTAAAGTGGAACTTTAAATTGTACACTGTGCTAACTTCCAAGAATTGAAAGTAAAGTGAAATGAAAAGTAAAGGAAGCAAAGAAGAAAAAGTAGAAGAGAGGGAGAGGAGAAAGGGAAGACTAGCAAGGAGAAGTTGAACCAGACTCCCCATATTGTCAACCTAGTATGTATTACCATTCATTAACATTTGAAATTACAACAATGCCCCCAGACAAGTAAAACTGATAAAAGAGAGAAAATAGCAACTAGAAAAAGACAAGTATGCCCCTGTAACTAATTCTAACATACACGATAATGTCTTAACGGTAATAAAGGCAGTTTGGTAACTTCAACGTTTCTGTTACTGAAAAGCTAACAGAAGGGAGGTATCTGCGCCATTTTCAAAACTATAGGGGAGGTTTTTATACTTTTCCCTTTAAAAAAGTATGCTGAGAATGTAGATAGTTCATGTACAATGAGGTGCTATACATAGGAACATTTCTTAAACTCAAGCTCAAGAGGATTTAGACATGGATATACAATAATTACTAAGTATTAACTACCACTTCAAAATTTTTTGACATGATTAGTGTTACATCCAAAATGAACCATGTTAGCTTTAGCTTCCATGAAAATTAGTAGAAAGACATCAAGATTAACTAAATCAGCAATACACAAACAGAGAAATCTTTCTAATAAGTTTCCTGAACAAACCTCTTTTGTAAAGAGTATAGTCAGCAGCCTTACATAGGTCTGGAGTTTTCTCAACAGTTATTGTGTGGCCTGGGAACAAGCCAAACAGGTGTGACAGATGACGATGATTCACTTCTGGGTCTATGAAATCTTCTGCCTGTCATATTGTCAAAGTTGTAGCATTTATGGACTAACAAAGTCAGTTGCTCTTATTATGATTCTCTATATCTGAATGGTGTAACCTGCCACATAGTAAAGAAGGCCACTGATTTGAACACCCTCTATTTTTATAAACAGAACACCCCTTCTTAATTAAGGGTATTGAAAAATACAGCAGCCCTGGTGCTATTTATTACATCTGAATAACTGACAATGTTATTTGCTTTTTGATTCACAGTCCTTGATTGAGACAGGGTGCTTGCTTTATCAAAAACAGGCGGTGCTCAAATCGCAGGCCTAAAAGAAGTTGTAATCGGAAACCTAACCTATCTCTGGCTTACCCATTCCATAATTGACCCATCTCTAGCAATTTTTGTTGGGTAGAGCTTAGGCTGTGCACTCCTAACCTTTGAAATTAGATCATCCTGACTCTTGTCCAAAACCTGATCACAAGAAACTAGAATTTGTTACTGAAACTAATACAAAAGAAACATATAGGAGCAAGATAAAAGAAAGTAGGGCTTCAACAAGTTAGTAGCCTAGTCTCAAGAGAATTACCTCGGCAGCAGAGATAACAGCAGAGAAAATCTCCCTTATGATTGCCATGTCCATAGTTGATGAATAGCTGACACTTGCAGGCTTACCATCTGGGGCAATGAATCTATGTTCTGGAGATGTTGACGGGTTGGTCTCTAAATATCCTTCACGGCCTTCAATCAACCAGTCCAGTAGAAAAGATGCACACCCTTCCAATAAAGGATATGCTTTATGTTCCAAGAAACCCTAAATATGCAGAAAGATAAAACAAGGCAAACTGAAGCTTCTATAGCATGAAGAAAAAAAAAAAAGAAAACTCTACTGCAGGTTTTAAAATAAGTGTGTGAAACCAATGATTGTTCAATCTTCATACACAAGTGATCTTCATCACCTTAAAACACAGTCGGCCTAACCTTTAGCTCTTTTCTCCAGATTTTCAACCATTCCTAAAATGTGGACATTGGACATATGGTGCTGCAACAATGTAGTAATATATCAAACCGCTTTGTCTCTAATACAAGTTTTTTTTTTTTTGACTTAGGGGCATTCCCTCTTTACCAACAACAGGATATCTGAGAACCACGCTCTTTTAGTATACCTACTTTTAAAGATCTACCTGTGACCTAGTACACCTACTCTTTTAGTTTTACCATCACATATCTCAAAAAATAAGGAAAACAAGCCTATGTATCATGTGATGATCATGATGGAACTAGGATTATTTTGAAGGTTTCTAATAGGAAATGATGGTTTTAAAATCAAGGGGCCCAGTATTTTTTAGTAAGAAAAGGCCTTACAAAAAACAAATAAGTATACAAGTAGAGAGACTTTTGGTCATCAAAGAAATCAACTGAATAGAGAGCATTAACCAGCCCAAAAAATCACATACCCCCGCACCCAACCCTCCACACAAAGCCACCAAACAAAAGGTAGCCCCTTGAAGCTATATAAGTGCCACTAAACCAACACTTGAAAGTAACAACTTTACAGAAACACCCAACTCAAAACCAACATGTACCCAAGAAGTCATGACTACAACCATTCCCATCAACAGCACAACCTTTTCTGCTTCATTTCTTTCCCATTCTACCTCAGCCTCTGCCCTAGCACTCTTAGAATTTGCTCACCCCACCTTGAAAACTACTCCCCTACAACTCCACCTTTCTGTTTTTGTCACTGTGCACTACTACTGCTAAACCATCCATTTCAGCCTTTTCTGACCCATACCCCTAGAGATCCATGGCTCCCCACAATCTCTTTCTACAATATTAGAAATCTCAGAAGCCACCTTCTCCACTTTTCTCCTTCAATGCTCTTTGGTAGAGCCTCTGGTAAACTGGCCTTTTCTTAAAATTTTCTTAGATTGCAAGATTAAGTATGTCACAACTCCTGCACAATCACATCAATAGACAAAGGTTTCCCAATATGACGAGCTTCATGCAACTGTACGTCAACCTCCTGTCACCCCTTGTTGGCATCCAATTCAATGGGATTCCCCAATGCAACTTCATGTTCAGCTACATTTAAAAAAGTGAGGAATTATAAGCTAGGCAGAATAGAAAAGGAAAACAGAACACTAGCTGTTATTTTAATTGGATTAAGTAACCATCCAGCCATACTTCTGCAGAAAAATAAAATAAAATAAAACTGCTGGATCATCTTCTGTCTGAAGTCAGCTCTCTAGGGATCAATCTAATCTGTATGGTCTTGATGGTGTACATTTCTCAATTCCTTCCTCACGGTAAACCATGAATTGGGTATGGAACTTTCCATATATACTTGTAGGGGCTTCAAATTCAGTTGATAAACCAAAAACCGAACCGAACCAAACCAAACCAAACCGAATAAGCTAATTCGGGTATCAGTTCGGTTTTTATTTTCTAAAAGAATTGGTTTTCGTTTCCGGTTCGGTTTGATTGAAATTTTCAACCGAACTGAAAACCGAATTAATGCTGTTATTTAGTTAAGTATATTAAACATTATTTTTTTATTTAATACTTTATGCTAATTAATTATTATATTTCCCAATGAACAATTTGTCAATTCCCCATTGGGCTTTAGGCCCATTCTAACTTTTAATTAATAGTAGTTAATTAATTAAAACCATTGGGTCTTGGGGCCATTTTAAGTTTTAATTAATAACACTTAATAAATGCTTATCATTTATGTGGAACCAGGGTCCAACCGAACCAAACCGAACCGAATTTGGTTAGGGTCGGTTTGGTTCTAAAATATAATTTGGTTCGGTTCGGTTATTGGAAATGGTAAAACCGAATAGTCGGTTAGGTCCTTAGTTTGACCCGAATTGACCGATTGTACACCCCTACTTTTATGGGAAGGAGCCGCTCCAAGCTAATATAAGTTGCTTTGCAAATATCCACCCACATATGAACTTGTATAGATTGAAGATGTAATGTTTCACAATGGTGTAACATGAACCAGCTTATGCATATAATGAATTTGGTTTCGAACACTTCTCAATTTCTTTTATTTTGCTTTTGTTTTTTGAAAGTAACCTTTATTTTCCTAAAAGTAGGTATCCCTATAGGATTGTCTATTTTTCAACTGGGATAAAGACTGATTTGGTGCAACTTGAAATTTCTGAAAGTAAAAGGGAATGGACATACAACATGGGTTCAAGTAATGAGGAAAGATTTTTTAGATATCTCATTAACAGAAGGCATCCTTAAGAGCAGATTGGAGGAACTGGATTCCTGCTGCCTATCCATTTAGGTTAGGATAAGGCAGATGATGATGACGGTAGTAACATACATATATTTTTTTTTAAGTTATAGGATTCAATGAAATCTTCAAATCTGAGAATCGATAAAACAAATAGAAATGCACAGAGTTAGAACACCAGGTAAAGCAATAACTTGGAATGTGAACAGTTCAGTATCCCACCTTGTCCATTGTAAAAGTGTAATGCTCCCATAGATGTGTGCAAAGCCATGCTCCACCCATTGGCCAAAAGGCCCAAACAGGATCACCTCGATCTGGGGATGTTTTTGCCCATATGTCTGAAACTTGGTGTACCACCCAACCACTTGTTTCATAGTTGATCTGTTAAGCAATCAAGATTAAACATAATTAGACCATAAAGAATGTATCAAGACTTTCTAAAAAATATTCACAGTGCATGCTTACAATTCATCTTCTTCCTTAGCCTTTTTTCTCAAGGCATCAATCATGCAATCAAAATGTTGCATTGTTTGTAGTGGGAGGATGACTAGAAAAGATCTAAAACTACATGACCCTTTCGACATGAGGACTAATAATTTTGGCCCTGGAACTTCCCATACCTATACATCTCTTACCTTGCTAATCTGGAAGAGAACCTGATGGTTTACTGTTTAAACCCTTAAAAACTTGAGTTGCTGGTAGACATGCTTTCCAAGTCCAATGTGGACTTTTGCTGGTGCTAAAACTACTTATGCAGAAAATGAAAAGATAAAGCAAAGAGAGTGCAACCGAATATAAGGTGCATAATGAAAAAGAAAACTTACCCGTGCTGTTTTACTTCCATTGACTGACAAAGAAGAAATGTAATCAAACAAGGGCTCTTGGCACTCACTAAGGTTGCAAGAAAGGGAAGGCCAGTAATTCATTTGAAGATTGATATTCAAGTGAGGAGCACAACTGAAAAACAAAAATGTAATGTATCCATAAACTCTTCATAGTATATGCCTCCACAAGGTGCAAAAATAATAAATAAAGAAAAATGTTAGAACCCAAGAAGAAAGGTGCAATAAAATGGATAATGCAAAATAGAAAAAGTATTAAGTGCAAAGATACAAATAGTCAGCCMCCCAGCCACTTTTTTGTTCATGTTTGAAAGTTGATATACAATGACCTGATGCAGACATAAGAACAGAAAAAGAAACCTGGAGAAAGAAATCAGCTTTCTATTGATTCATCATGTCAACAAAACACTCTTGGCCAAAAAGAAGAGAACAAGAATAATCTTAGAGGTGTCCAGAATAATTGACCCCCACCTTCTTATATATTAAAAGATATGTACAATTACAAGAATGCTGATATAGGGCTGAAAGAGAGAAAAGAAAATAAAGAATACAAATAATATAATATACAATAGGGACTATACTAATAAGATACATCAAGTCACAGAATCTCCACACTCTCCCCCTCAAACTGATGCATAGACATAACATCAGTTTGCCTATAAGAAAAAGGTGTCGAACTATAGTCATAACCTTGGTGAAGATATCAGCAATCTACATGTCGAGGCTACATGAGGAAGCAATATAGATCCAATAGTGAAAAGATCTCGGGTAAAGTGGAAGTCCACCTTGATGTGCTTGGTCCTCTCATGGAAGACATGGTTAGATGCAATCTTGATAGCACTCGTACTGTCTGCATAGAGAGGAATTGGAGTAGGAATGTTATGGACCCGGGAATAGGATCTCGTCACGGGTCGGTCCATGGGGAAAAGCTCCTGTTTTCCCTTGTTCCTCCCCTTCTTAAATGAACCTATCTTGGCGTCCTAGAGGGTGATTTGTCCAAGAGATCACCGAACTCTCCTTTTACTCTCTTTCTTGACTGGAAATTTGATATCTTTATTCAATAATTTCAGCTCCTTAAATAGGAGATTACAAGAGGTAAGAGTCCTCCTTGTAGGAAGACTCCTTGATAACTAAACTGCTTACAGATAAGATAGATAAGACTCCTAGATAAGACTAACTAAACTGCTTACAGATAAGATAGATAAGACTCCTAGATAAGACTCCCTACTCAAGAAGGATAAAAACTCCCTAAGATAAATCAGATTCTATACTAATCCTTATTGGAACAGATAAGATAAGAGTAAGAAAGCAGATAAGATAAGGATAAGGTAAGATGAACTGTGGCTAGCTAGATAATCTGATGAGGGTCCCACGTTACTGCTGCTGCCGGCGGCGGTACTTCTTCCCCACGAATGCGTCCATAACAAGGAATCTAAATACCAAGATTCATAAAGAGATATTGTAACCAAACAACCTCATTGCAAACAGAAGACATTGCCCTATACTTTACTTTAGTGGAAGACTTGGAGACTGTTTGTTGTTTCTTACACTTCCAAGAGATGAGTGAATCACCCATAAAGACACGTCACCTAGGAGTAGACCTACGGGTGTCAAGACAACCAGCCCAATCTGCATTGGCATATGCTCTCAATTGAATAGAGGAGGAGAAAAATCGTCCCTAAGAAGTTGTGCCTCTAACATACCGAATGATGCGATGAACAATAGTCATATGAGGCTGAAGAGAAGTAGAAACGGATTGGCTAACAACCTAAAGAGCATGAGAAATATTAGGCCGAGTCATAGTGAGATAAATAAGAGACCCCACAAGCTAGCGATACAAGGTAGCATTGGGAAGCAATGGACCTTTAGATTTAGATAACTTAACATTCAGCTCCATAGGTGTATCAACATGCTTCTCATCAGTAATACCAACAAGTTTAACAAGGTTAGTGGCATATTTTTGCTGATAAACAAAATACCCTCGATCATTACGATGAACTTCCAGTCCCATGAAATAGGTGAGAGGGCCCAAGTCCTTCATGTGAAAGGAATTATGAAGTAATGACTTCAATTCACGAATACCTTCATCATCATTCCCAGTCAACAACATGTCTCAACATACAATAGGAGAATGGTAATACCCCAAAGTCGTAGCTTAACAAAGAGAGAGTGATCAAAGGAACTCTAGCTATATCAACAACTACAACATCTCCAAAGCGTTCAAACCATGCCTGGGGAGCTTTAGACCATATAGAGATTTTTTAAAGCGACATACTTCAGAAGAATTATTGCAGTATCCAGGAGGAGGCTTCATGTAATTGTCTCCTTCAACTGACCATGAAGAAAGGCATTCTTCACATCTAATTGGCGTATGGTCCAAGATTTGGCAGCAGACAATGCTAAGAAAACATAAACTGTGGTGATCTTTGCAACAGAAGCAAAGGTTTCTTCATAGTCGATGCCATACTCCTAACTATATCCTTGGGCAACTAAACAAGCCTTGTATCGATCAAAATATCCATCAGATTTCAGCTTGATGTTGTAACCCAATGGCTCCCAACAATGGAGGCATTTGGAGGAAAAAGCATAAGGTCCCAAGTGTCATTCTCATGTAAAGCATGAATCTTTGCATCCATGGCTTCCTTCCAATATCCGTGGAAGATAAGACAATAGACAAAGAACTATTGTTTAAAGGAAAACCATAGTGGTCAGGAGGTCTAGATATACAAGTAAAACAGAGAAGAGGAACATTGGTAAGAGGAATATCTGAAATAGTGGTATCACTTTAGATATGATCTTATACAAACTCCCAATCAAGTTAATCGATCTAAAGTCCTTAGGTTGAATTGTCGGAACCCTCTTTGGGACCAAGGCTATAAAAGTAGCATTTGCACCCGCATTTATTTTCCCTCTTTCAAATCAAGCTAACCAATCTAAAGTCCTTAAGGTTGAATTGTCGGAACCCTCTTCGGGACCAAGGCTATAAAAGTAGCATTTGCACCCACATTTATTTTCCCTCTTTCAAAGAACTCCAAGAAGACATCCACCAAATTATCACCTAAAATACACCAACAATCTTGATAAAAAGCCATAGTGAAACCATCTGGGCCCGGGGCTTTTGATCTTTCCATAGAGAAAATTGCCTTCTTTATTTTCTGAACCTCAAAAGGCCTCTCTAGGGGTTCCAACAAATCCCTTTCTCTAGCAAGCCACTCAAAGTTGACTAGAGTCTCTCTCACTATTGGGACTGTCATAAATGGATTTAAAATGCTCCACAAAGGCTTTTGCAATATCTTCCTCTCTTGTCAACACTACACCATTCCATTCCAAGCTTACAACTTCTCCCTCTTCCTTCCATTTTCCAAATTATGAAAAAAATTACTTGTATTACCATTTCCTTCCTTCAACCACTTGCACCTTGATTTTTGTCTCCAGCTTATCTCTTATTTTCTAAGAATTTCTTCAAAGTCCTGTTTCAACTTCCATCTCTCTTCCCTTTCTTCAAGCCTCAAACTTCTCTTTGTTTCAACAACATTAAGCTCTTGAATCCTTTTTAATAATAACCTCCTTATTGTCTTCGATAATCTTTCCAAGCTTTGGTCTTGGCTTTCAACTTCCGAAGCTTCTTGTAGAACCTATAACCTTTCCACCTAAACACCACTTGGTCCTCTTCCCACTATTCTTTCACTTTCTTTTGAAAGTTTAGGTGTAGCAACTACATGTTTTCAAACCTAAAAGGGCAAGGCCCTCCTAATCTTTTTTGTGACAATCTAACTAGGCAATGATCCGAAATAGGTCTAGGTAAGGCCCTCATCACCAAGCCACTCCACACTTCCTCCTAGTCTGAGGAGAATAAGAATTTGTCGAGCATACAACAAAGGGGTTCTTCCTAAAAATTCGACCAGGTATAATCAACTTGCAACATCGACAACTCCTCCAACTCAAAAGAATCTACAAAAGAGTTGAATTTCCTCATACTTGAGGTGACCTTGTGGTTGGGGTTATTTGTTTCACTGACAAATCTAATGACATTGAAATCCCCTCCCAAGCACCACGGACCCTCACACAAACCCTTATAGCTGCTAACTCCTCCCTTTCTCTATACGAGTTTGGCCCATAAACATTTGTTAAGGCCCATTCTAGTCCATCATCTCTTCTTCTTAATTTAATTGTGACCGTAAAGTTACCAATTAACTCTTTCGTATAGTCTCATTCCTCAATTTTCCTTATTGTAATAATTCCCCCGAGGCCCCCCAAGATTGTGCAAAAGCCCAACTCAGCCCTCTAGACAACCAAATACTTCTCACCCACCATCTCCTGTCCACCTTTGTTAATTTTGATTCTTGAATTAAAACAACCAATGCAATGGATCGGCTCACACACTCTTCTTTTCCTAGAGCTTCCCAAACCCCTTACGTTCCAACTAATAATCTTCATTGAGAAACCTCTTAATCTCAACCCTAAAATCCCCTTTTGCTAGACTGACTACCTCCCCTTTCTCCCAGAACACCCCTTGTCATAGTCCACTCCACTTCACTTAGTGTCTTCTTCCTCCTTTTAGGTGTCCCTCCTTCAAGCTTATTCTTAGATTGCTCTTGGTCTACAACCCTTTTCTTTTTCTGACTCTTCCACCTCTTCTTCCACTTTGCTGATTTTTCTCCTGTAGTTATCCCTTCGCCCTCCCTTCCCCTTGCCCAGGTACTAGGAATTAGAGTGTCACCCTCCTCTTCCTTTTCAAGGTTCACCCCTAATTCCTCCTCTACCAGAAGTCTAAAATTCTGCAAGATTAAACCCCAAATCCTTTCTCCCTCCACAGAATCATTCACAGCCTCCACACTCTGTTACTTCTAGGGAATCACTAGGACAGACAGCTTTTGGATGAGAACCGGCTTCACCTGCAGGCTGAGACGAAACAACAGCTGGGGAAGGGACAGGTTAGCATCAAAACATTGAGGAAAATCAGAAGACTGACAAACCATACCAGAAATACCAATAACCGAATTGTTACCAGTTGTGTCTAAGTTCTGAGGGATTTTGCTGGGTGAAGCCTCCTCAGGATCAACCTGCATCGCACTAACTGAACCATTCTAAAAAATGGGTGTATATGGACCTGGTTATTCAACAATGAAATCAATCCATTCTAAAAAATGAGCATACCTTGCATGGGTAACAGCAAAAAATATGTCCATCCATATTCTCTTCCAATTTGCAATGGTGAGAACTGAGCCAATATCCCATTATGCTTTAATGAAGGGCTTAGGTTACCATCTTTATGGCCTTCAAGTTATAAATCAACTCAAGTAAGACTCACAGTTATGATTCTCATAGGTCTAGGATCCCTTGAGAAGCATGGTCTCTGGCACCTAGATTGACCCTCATTTAACTGGATTTAGAGCTCGGTTAATTCAACTGCTGATAGGCTTGGTAAGGATGGAATATCAAGGAGTAGGCTGTTTCCAGCTTCATCTTTACGAGGATTATCTTTACATTAATTTGATTATGATGCATATGTTAGGTTCAGGAGCACAGCAAATTTGAACTTTGAAGAGTTCATTATGGTAGTCCAACAAGTATGTACAACACTGCACTAATAAATGCAAAGTATTCAAAATCCATCCTTTGACCATGATATAGCATCTCACATATAAACAAAGCAACATTATTTATTTTTTATTTTTTGATAATTGAAACAAAGCAACATTATAAGCATATGGATATACAGATTGAGAGTAAGATAGGTAAGGAGCATAACATACTCCCATGCTGGCTCAATATCCTTGTTCCATATTCCCTGTAGGTTTGATGCCTGAGTTCCAGGCCTTGAAGAAGAAATAAGCAAGTACCGACCATACTGGAACTGAAGCTCCACCAAAGAAGGATCCTCATCTGTTTGGAAGGACTTCACTCTTTCTGCAGTTGAAATTCGACCATCATTCTTCATCCCACAAAATGCATTGCCCTTGGCATTTCTGGAGCTTTTTGAAAGCTGAAGTGTGACACGGTGAAATAGATTCTGGTAATCATCCAAATGATGTGAATAAAGATCAGAATATGATATATTCCTAATTGACGTCAGTGTGTTAAGAGCCTCCAAATTAGGATCCTTTTTTGAATCAGAAGGTTTGGTGAATGGCCCATCATATGAAGATGCAGCCACCAGAAGCAAAATAGCCCAGTTGGTACCCTCAATCTTCAACTTCCTATCATTCAAAACATGTATTGTTCCCATGCCATCACTAATCTGCAAATCAAGAATTGCAGAGAATTGAATTCCCTTCGGATCATCATTTACATTAGCTTCAGGTGAAATCCTTCCCTCTGGATTACCATTTATATTAGCTCTAGGTGGAACCCTTTTACCAGGACAACTTCCTTCCAGGATAATTTGATTCTTCCCACTTACGTATGAATGATGATGTAACTTGCTGTCTAGGAATACTGTAAAGGAAAGAGACCCTGCTTTGCTTGCAGAAATCTTTGTCACTATTACTTGATTTGGATATGAGCTAAAATGTTCCCTTGTGAATTCTACATTGTTCACAACATACTTCACTTTTACTGTTGCAGTATCCAAATCGAGCTCTCTCTGATAAGTTTCTACATCATATGTAGCATGGGAGTCATCAAACTCTAGCTTGACATCACCTAGAGGCTGGTAAACCTTCACCACCACAAGAAAATGTTAGCATCTAAGACGTTGAAGCACTCTTTCAGGAATAGTCCAATAAGATCAATATGACATGAAACATGATTCTAATGAATTATAAATTTTGGGAAGTCAAGCTTATAAACTTTTCAATAATAATGAAAACTAGAAAAGTAGCAAAAATTCACAATCTCAATGTCACAAGTAGACAGGCTAGATATAAAATAATAGAGTCGATTTCCAACATTTCACAAAATAAAATGGAGATCAATCTCAAATATACAAATAAACTTTCTGCAAATCATTGCAATAAGTCCAATGAGCTGAATACTTTGCATAACCCTTCAGCAAACCCTTCAGCAATAAGTCCAATGTGCTGAATACTTTGCATAAAAATCCTTAAAAGTTTTCCTTGTAAACTCCTCTCCCCAAAGATAAAACAAACCCAAAGTTTTACTTACCTCCACCTCTATGTTCACCAATGTCTCCACATCCAATGATCTTCTGATTTCATGAGTTTTATTGATAACAACAATCTTTTATGAGTAAAATAATCATTAACAATACGCCACATGGCTTCCCAACCTCACACTGACTGATTTTTCTTTCCATTAAACCCTAAATTCACCCCTGAGACTACAAAAAGGGTCATTACGTGATGCAGTGTTTTAAAAGCACAAGGCACAAAAAAGAAAAAAAAACACAAGGGATTTTTTTTTTTGCTCCCAAGGTGCAAGACAACAAGGTGAGGCACAAAATTTTCAAAAAAGTATAAAACAGAATAACCCTTGTACAAGTAGGGGCTATACAGTGGGAATATATAAGTATTCATTGTATCATCAGTTTTTGAATGTTTCCAAAACGATTTCCAAAACCAGAGAGAATTATAATTCCTTCCTCTAAAAAGTTTATGATTAACCATCCATGAATGGACCATTCCTACTTGTACATTCCATTGCATTCAAAGTGACAAGCAACATATTTTTGATAGATAAATTGATTGTTACAATTCAAATCAATAATGGAGTATATAAGGACTGATAATTTAGCAGTGGATATGGCTTTAAATGGAACTGATTGATGATTAGTGAAACAGGACTAATGTTCTAGATATTCTAATAGGAAGTCTAAAACCGATGGACTTACAAGATCTTAACTATGTTATAGCGTCATATCTACTGAGAAAAAGGAAATACAGAGTCATGTCAACTGCAATTATTATAGCGTCATATCTACTGAGAAAAAGGAAATACAGAGTCATGTCAACTGCAATTATCCACAGGAACAACTAAAATGAAGAGAAAGAAGAATCATACATCAGAGGGACTGTCTGATAACTTGAAAGCTTCTTGAGTAGCTTCAGCGTATTGGCCTTTATCGACAAGTTCTCTGACCTGTGATAGTGCCTGCGGAGCATTTGGATTTGTGTAGTTCCCAGGCACCCCAGTCCAAAGAGTGTCATCTAAACAGTAAGTGAACAATAACCCATCAGCGTCACTTACAAATACGATAGAGAGCAGCAGCGATTGCGAAAAGTAAGCATCATTAGTCGGCATTTACAGTAAGTAGAATTCAAGAGTTGAAAACTCTAAGGATCATAAGCATTTTTAGCAGGGCATTATCGAGTCGCATTGATGTGGCACCAATGAATAATATAAAAATGGCATTCCAAATTTCCAAATATTATAAAACAAATGAAAATGATGATACCAATGTAATAATAGAAATAACAATGACAAACTAAAATCTTTTATTTATTTTTATCCTATGATACAATTGGAGAAGGATGTAGGTACCATTGAGCTGCAATGTCTCGGAGGCGACGCCGCCCCAGACCATGGCACCAAGGCGGCCATTGCCGATGGGCAAGGCATCAGTCCAGTGCTTAGCAGGCTCAAAGAACCGAAGCTTGAGAGGTTGAGAATTATCCATTTCCTTCAAATTTGGACTCCAGAAATCTGCGTCGGTGGGACGCCGCACCAGAACCCAGTCCCCTTGGTCTTCCATGAAAACCAAACGAAATGGGGCACTGTTAAAACGAGGAAGCGGACGATTAAAGTGGTATTAAGATGGGAAACCCCATTTACTGTTTGTATATTGGTCTCGTCCGTGAAGAGATAGAAAAGAAGGAAACAAAACAAACAGGTGACCAAATGACAGAAATAGAATGGGCCATCCTGCTCCACATTCACACTACACGTACCACCACTGTGTCACTGACAGAGGCTTTCTTCTTCCCTAATCACTTTAGTTACGCTTCAAAGCCTATACAAATCTCGCTTTTTACTGCAGCGTACGTGCTTCTTTTTAGTAGCCTGTTTGCAGATTTGCAGGTTCGACTTGAGACTTAAGTAGACCCCATCTCCGACTGTAGCGAAGGGATGGTCTTCCGTCTTCGGACCATCGCATCCACTGATCCACGGCTGGACTGGAAGTGGACTCATGCACTGGTCCATCAACACCATCATACGTAAGCATGATTACATGTGGCGAAATCGAATGGTTTGGATAGGCAATGAGATGACGAGAATTCAATTCAAATGGACAAGAGACAAGACACGAGAAGAGAGGAGGAAACTGTTTCATCATGCATTCTCAACCGAAAGATCAAAGGATGGAATTAGGCCACGTGGCAAGGCTAGGAGATTCTCTCATCCTGTTTTGTTGACATTTATCTATAAGGTAGTAGGGTACACATCCGGGAAGGATGGTGGAAGCAAACTTATGTCTGCCTGGGTGCTGGCCTGCTGGGACCCACAGAATTAAATATTTTTCGTTTAAAACAAATTAATTAACATGAAAAGTTAAGACTTAACCTACCTATCTATAATCTAAATCAAGGGATGTAAAGTGTAATAATTGTTTATTTTTGTCATAACATAAAAATAATAATATCAGACCTCGGAACCGAGGAAATCCTGTCACGCAATGTCGTAATAAATTAATTAATAATTTCTCTCAAAAAATTAAATAAATAAATAAATAATAATAATAATATAAATTAGTGACTACTGTAATATTTGTCGCAAAAGTCCGGTGATACACTTGGCCGTTGGCTCGTGACAGCATCATAGCATGAGCATCTTCCTTGAGATCACTCCACACTTCCACAGACCATTGGACCTCGGGCAGGATCAATGTTGCCCGACTCAGGTTGGATCAGGCGGTCTGACCAAATTTAACCGTGAGCCAGTGCAATGAAGTCTTGAGAGAAGTCAGAAGGTTGAGCTAAAGTTATTAATAAATTTTGTGAAATTTTTTAGGCTCTCTATTCGTTGCCAGTGCAAATATGAATTGGAAAAAAAAATTTCACCTGATTTGGTTGTACTTTCCTTCTAAAAAAACTATGACTTGCACTCATGTTTGAAACAAAAATTTGTGTAAAAAAAAATCTTATTTATTTGCACCACCTTTCTCCTACTTTACTTCTCTCTCATACAAAGTTGAGTAACACATCAGCATTTTTCCTACATCATTTTAAGTTTATATTTGTGCCCCACATGCACATCTCAGCATGTATTAGGATTTAGAAAAATAAAGAAAATATTCTTAATACACAGTTGGAATGTGTTATGGGACGCGTTATGTGAGACGCCAATGTGATCTCCATCACTCCCAAATAAATAACCCCCTTCCCACCTAGGGGTGCAGCTTGGGTGGGAACAAGCCGAGCCTGGATTAATTCACCCACAATTTTACATTTTTCAGTCCTCAGGTTATGTTTGGCTTTTTTATTTTTTTTGGGATAGACCCACTTCAACTACATACATGCATATATGCATATATAGATGTATAAAAACAACATGGCCTGGATCGGGCTGGGCCAAGGGTTTTTGGCCCTTGGGTCATGTCAGGCCCAACATGGCCCATGTCACCGCCCAATACATCATTATAGCATTTTTTTTCAATTTCATGTAATCATTTTATATTTTTATTGTATGAATTGATTATTCATATAGATAAAATTTTAAGATGATTTTTTTCAGATTATTGTTACTGATGAGGGCAGATTTGGCCCTCCAGTGAAATTGCGACACGTTGTCACAAGTGACTCCTTCGCCGCGCCATCAAACACCTACAGTGAGCCATCCGAGTGCCAACTGCGTGCCTTCATGGTGTCAACATGTGTGTCATGGGTGGGCTTTACTTGTATTTTGTAAGGGGGACCGCCAATGGCGTTATTGTAATTACTTAGTATGCTTTTCCATCATTTTGATGTTTCCTATTGTCACTCCCCCAAAAGCTTAACGTACTCTTTGAGGGGAGGTAGGTAGTTGAG